GCCTTTTTTTTTTTTTTTTTTTTTAACCTTTTTAAAAGGTATTTAGCAGCTCACGTAGCATCTACTAAGAGCAAGAAATACTAGCTTTTGTTGTTATTATCATAATGGGCAATGTGAGGTGGAGGGAGGCGGGAGATTAAATTCTTGGTTGAAACAATAGCCAGAAGAAAATAATCTTCTCGTTTTTCCTCACTTTAGTTGATTCATTCATTCAACAAACCTTTGTTGAGTACCTGCCTTGTGCCAGGTTGTCTTGTGCTAGGTATTGGAAGGGAGACGAGGGAGATGGAGGTAAGACAGATGAACACAACACAGTCTTTGCTGAAGGACGTCATCCCTTGTAACCTGGGCTTCAGTTAGCAGTTTAGCGCTTTGCCCATACAGTAAATATTCATTGCTGTCCTACCTTAAGCCAGTCTCAAGGGATACAGAATTGAATCAGACTCTTGTTTCTTTCCTCAGGAAACTATAGAGTACTGGGGGAAACATCAATTTGAGGACAGTGTGGTCAATGGTGTAATTATGGTAGATACAAAATACTGAAGGAATTTTCAAGGAACTGCAAATCAACAACAGGAAAAATAAAATCAATGACAAGAAACCCAGTAGAAATGTGGCAAAGTACTTATGATATCTAATGCAATGAAAAAAGTTAAAAAAAACAAAAGTGGCAAAGAATATAGATAGGCTTTCATGGAAAGAGAAGTTCAAGTGGCTAATGACCATAGGAATTGAGGTCTAACCTCTTAATCAGAAATGCAAATTAAAAAGTCTAACAGTATTTGGTGGAAATCTATAGATGTCCTGTGTAGTATGTGGAAAAAAAAATACATATATATATTTTATATATATATATATAAAAACCTATGGGTATATATCCCAGAGAGAGTCTTGCCATAGGGTCCCAAAGAGACACACATTCAGTGTTATTCATCTTGGCATAACTTGTAGTAGTGGGACATTGGTGGCAATGTAGACGGCCATTACTGGGGGAAGCATAAGTCAAATGAATATATAGACTGGAGTACCATGTAGGAGTTCACAGCAAGAACTAGATTTGTGGGCAGTAGTGGATAACTTATAAACCGGATATTGACCAGAAAAAAGAATAAAGTTTGTAACACAGTAGATTTGTGTAAATTTTAGGTCTAAGATATTTTACAAGGATATGCATTTTTAAGGAATGCATGTGTGTATGTCACTTGTGGTGTATGCTCACAGTAGGGAAGGTAATGGGAATGGAAATTGGGGATTGAAACAAAGAGGACAAGGGAAGAGTCTTGCCCAGGCAGTGATGATAAGTGTGTTATGAACTGTGGGATATGATTAACTCGCTTCTGCACCTGAAGTCTAAAAACGGAGGAACCCAACAAAGTGTAATACAAACTAGGAACCTGCTCAGAACCGTCAGGAAAGGTTTTACAAAACAGGGAGTGATGACTGGAGACTGAAGAGTGAGTAGGATTTAGCCAGCCAGGCAGCAACAGAAAAAGGGAATTCCAGGCAGAGAGAACAGCATGCTTGGAGGTATGAGAGAGCATGCCTTGTTCTGGATACTAAGTAGTTTTTAATGTCTGGAGCATAAAAGCAGGGTCAGGAAGAAGGCGGGGAGTGGTGGAGAGGTCAGCAGGGGCCGGAACACAGAGGCCTTTATGAGTCATACTTAGGAGATTGGACATAAAATTGCATAGCTCAAAATTATAGTTAGTTACATTTCATTTGGATTATAGTGGCTAATAGGTTTAAGCTGCTAGCATGACATCTGGCAGCATCTGTCACACCATATTGGGAGCTGGAGAGGGCAATTGGAAGTTAGTCCTGCCTGGCCTGCCAGTGCCTGTGTATGCTGGTTGCATACTCTGAGTTTCTGAAGAGATGGAGAGGAGGACAATAGCAGGAATCCAGTATTTTCTCCATGTTTTTGTACTACCCAAGTTCTGCCCTTTAAGAGGTTTTGGGGGCAGAAGTTGGGATGCTGTAATTGAAGCCCTTGGACAAAAGTAAGCTGAGTACAGTCAATATACCTGGTGATAATAGCAACTAAAATTAATTGAGTAGTTATCGTGGACCCGGTGTGGTTCTAAGGACTTTATACATATTAACTCCTTTAAAAATCTCCCAATAACCCTAAGGTAAGTACTATTATTATGTCCATTTTGCAGATGGGGAAACAGGCCTGGAGAGTATAACCAACTTGCCTGAATCACACTATTAGTAAGTGGCAGAGTTGAGATGCCAATCTTATTAATCCACTACATTATATTGCAGTGGTGGTATACTAGAAAGAGCCCGAGTTTTGGTGTTAAATCTGGGTTTCAGTCTTTGGGTTTCAGTCTTACATGTGCCATTTACTAGCTGTGTGGCCTTAGGCAAGGTCTTTTACTTCTTGGCCTAAGTTTTCCTCATTTGTAAAATTAGGATAATAATGCCTACTTGCAGAGCTGTTGATTAGAGGATTAGAGATAATATATGTAAAGTACATAGAAGCTTAATAAATAGGAATTACCATAGCTGGTGGATTCAGATGGACTCTTATGCCTCCTTGTAGGAACTTGGAGGGCGCTAGGGTCTCCAGTATTTAAAGGGGAATAAATAAGGTTTGGCCGAATCTTCCCTGCCTTATACCATGTCTACAGGGCTAGGCTGAGGAACTTATTTCTTCAGCTTCAGGGGACCGTTTTATGTGCATATGGATGGATGAAGCAGGTTGTGACTGAAAATCAGTTACTCTTGGTCCCTGAGCCCTGGGTCTAGTTTCCCTTTCTTCCCATAGCCGGATTTTGTGCATTGGTTATCTCTGATGAGATTATGAGTGATTCTCCCCCCACTTTTATACACAGTTTGGAGTTTGAGAATCAGAAGACTCGCTTGGGCATTCAGTTGGATTTTGAAAAGAACCAACTGAAGGAGGACCAGGATAAAGTACACATGTGGGAGCAGACAGTGAAAAAAGATGAAAATGAGATAGAAAAGCTCAAAAAGGTAAGGAAGGAAAGAATTAAAAGACTAACAACTGGGAGGAAAAATGGGAAGAAATATGACAGAAAGATAATGTCCACAACTTAGAAATTTCTCATCTAAACCAATAAGAAAAATATCAAGACCTAAACAGGAAAAATGGATAAGTGTCACAGACAGTTCAAGAAGACTTTCAAATAGTCCCTAAACCCATACAAATAATTTAGTCTTACTAAAGAAATGCAAATTAAAGCAACAGTCAGATGCAATGTATTTTCTAGTACATCATGGAAAATGTAAAAACAAAGGACACAATGCTTAAAGACCAGCCATAGTATAGGAGACCAGTATTCTTTTTTTTTTTTTTTTGAGATGGGGTCTTGCTATGTTGCCCAGGCTGGAGTGCAGTGGCACCATCTCAGCTACTGCAACCTCCACCTCCGGGGTTCAACCGATTCTCCTGCCTCAGCCTCCCGAGCATTTGGGACTACAGGTGCGTGCCACCAAGCCCAGTTAATTTTTGTATTTTTAGTAGAGACGGGGTTTCACCATATTGGCCAGGCTGGTCTCGAACTCCTGACCTCGTGATCCACCCGCCTCGGCCTCTCAAAGTGCTGGATTACAAGCATGAGCCACCGTGCCTGGCCAGGAGACTAGTATTCTTAATGTAATGTGGCACCATCCTTCAAGAAGCTTCACAATGCATTTATACCCTGTAACTCAGTAATACCTGAGGAGATCATCCAAAATGCTGGCAAGGCTTTATGCGAACACTTTGATGTTTTTAACAAGCATTATTTATAGTTCCAAATTGGAAACTACTCAGTGCCCCTTGGAAAGTGGGAATTTAGCAAATCATGCAACATTTGTAAAATTATTTATGTAGTGTCTTCAAACCTTAGTAATACACAGACCCTTTTTAAAGGAAAAGTAGTCCCTAAGATTGCCATTGTTGCCTTAAATCCGTGATGTTACTTACGTATATACAAATATATATACTTGGAACACTTAACCAAATGCTAAGACTAAGTTAAAAATTAAATACTAGCAAAATGAGCAAAATTTAGATTGACCATGTAAATTCAGTGCAACAAATGATGGTGTTTTGCTGAAATCTAGTCACTTCACAGTGTGACTGTGCTACTGACTGGTACAGCTCAGTTCTTTTGAGCTTAGCATGCCTGTGCCACCATGTATTGTGTGATGACTCAATTTTCTCACACTCTTTCTCTTTAAACTACTATGAAGCCTTTGTTCCTTACATCATTCCCTCCTGAGGTGATTTGGCCTTCACTTGGTTTGAACTTACTATTTGACTTTCGTCTGCCTATGTTTGTTGCTTGTTTGTGTGTTTTCTTCATTAACCCCTGATGATTAAAGTAGTACTCTTTGGTGTCTGAAATTTTTTTTTTTTTTTGAGACGCAGTTTCGATCTTGTTGCCTAGGCTGGAGTGCAATAGCATTCGGCTCACTGCAACCTCTGCTTTCCGGGTTCAAGCAAGACTCCTGCCTCTGCCTCCCGAGTAGCTGGGATTGCAGGCGCCCGCCTGGCTAATTTTTTGTAATTTTAATAGAGAGGGGGTTTCACGATGTTCGCCAGGCTGGTCCCGAACTCCTGGCCTCAAGTGATCCACTCGCCTCGGCCTCCCAAAGTGCTGGGATTACAGGTGTGAGCCACCGCGCCCAACCTGGTGTCTGAAATCTTAAATGCAGTTGTAGCTTGGGCAGTAAAATCCTGAGGCAAGACAAGTTAGATACCTAGATGATTTGGGATATTACATATACGCAATTTTTTTACTTTTTATTTTGAAATAATTTTCAACTTTGCAAAAAATTGCAAGGAATAGTACAAAGAACTCCTATCTACCCATCTACCCATCACCAAGATTCATCGATCATCAACATGTTGCCACATTATCTTTTGCATTCTCTCGCTCTATATATATGCTTATTATTTTTTATGAGCCATTTGGGAGTAAGTTGCAGATATATCTCCTTTATGTGATTATTATTATTATTTTTTTTTTTTGAGACAGGGTCTCACCCTGTCGTCCAGTTTGGAGTGCAGTGGCACAATCTCAGCTCGCTGCAACCTCCGCCTCCCGGGCTCAAGTGATCCTCCCACCTCAGCCTCTCAAGTAGCTGGGACCACAGGCGTGCACCACCACACCCAGCTAATTTTTGTATTTTTTGTAGAGACGGAGTTTTGCCTTGTTGTCCAGGCTGGTCTCGAACTCCTGGGCTCAAGCAGTCTGCCTACCTTGGCTTCCCAAAGTGCTGGAATCACAAGTGTAAGCCACTCCACCAGGCCCCCTTTATGTGACTTAAGATCAAAATGAAAACAAAAATTTTCCTTTTTAAAAATCAGAACATTATACATAAGGCTACGATCCCCTTTGGCTGATCCTAGTCCCCTTCCTCTTACCAGAGGTGATTCTTCCAGACCCTTTAAGGATTTACTTAAATACTTGTACATTTACATATGTGTATTCATAGAAAATGCACAGTATTGTTTGTGTGGGTTTTTTTTTTTTTTTTTTTTTTAAAAAACAAATGTTACTATACTGCACATGACAGAAAGTTTTGATGTAGAAAAAAATGCTCAAATATAACATTTAGTCAGAATACAGAGTTTTAATTACAATCTAGTCCCAACTATGTAAAGCTGTCTGTAAATAATGCTGAGAGAAAATGTGCTAGAATGTTAATTGATTATCTAACTGATGAGATTGTGAGTGATTCCCCCCTTAATACTTTCTCTATACTTTTAACTTTCGTACATACACTAGATCACTTGTAAAATTGGGGTGTGTGGGAGAGGACAACCAAATTTTAAAAAGATAGGAGGCTGAGGGGTGATGGGGGTGTGAAAGCAAAGCTCATTGATGAGTGACTCCAATAAACTGCCTAGTAGGAAGGGTGGGAGCAGGAGAATATCCCAGGGTAAGATGGGGAAAGTCTTCACCTATTGTCCTGTTCCCACTGCTGGGACCAGGAGGAACAAAGACACATGAAGATCATAGATGAGACCATGGCTCAGCTACAAGACCTGAAGAATCAGCATCTGGCCAAGAAGTCGGAAGTGAATGACAAGAATCATGAGATGGAGGAGATTCGTAAGAAACTGGGGGGCGCCAACAAGTGAGTGGGTTCAGGCCTGGGGTGGGAGGACATAGATAGAGCAGGCAGCCTGCCAGATTTGGGTCTCACCTAGCCCCTGGACCTTTTTTAGGGAAATGACCCATTTACAGAAGGAGGTGACAGCCATTGAGACTAAGCTTGAACAGAAGCGCAGTGACCGTCACAACTTGCTACAGGCCTGTAAGATGCAGGACATTAAGTTGCCACTGTCAAAAGGCACCATGGATGATATTAGTCAGGAAGAGGTGAGTATTGTGGCTGGTGGTGGGAGTGGGCTATGAACATCATTAACCAGGGATGGGGAGTGAAAGTGATCAGGAAGGGCAATGAGAGAGAGAAACGTGGGCAGATGGTGAAGGGACATGAAAAGGGATGCAGGAGAGATAAGGCAAGGTGCAGTGGTGAACGCAGGTGAGGCGGAAGGTAATAATAGCTTTGGTGTGAGAGAGAAGTTGAATTGGGAGTAGAGCTGCAAGCCAGTGAGTGGGTGGTGAAAGAGTTGAGCCAGGAAAGAATGAAGTAATTCATTAACCTTAGGGACCTGAGCTATATTAGCTCCAGCAGGTGACATAAATTGGTAGGAGTGGGAATTGAGGGACATTAGCCAAGAGCAAAGGAAGACAGAAAGCTGGGGGACCTGAGGATGATAGCTTAGCTGCAGTGAGGGAGATTGGCCAGGAGAGGGTTGGGTAAGGGACATCAGCAATGCAGAGGTGAGGAAGTTTAGTTACAGGAAAACCAGAGATACTAGTCAAAGAGGAGCAGTGGAAGCAAAGATTTGTAGCAAGGGGATGGGAAATGTTAACTGAGAGGGGATTTGCATATATTAATATCTTGTCTTAGACCTAGTCATATATCTCAGTCCCATGTGTCTTTCTCCCTCCTCACTTTCCAAATGGCATTTCAGTTTAATTCAGTAAAATATTTTGAATACCAGAAATGTTCTGGGCATCATGGTAGCATGTGACATAATTACCCCAATCCTAACCACAGGCCTGCCAGACAGGCATTATCCCCACATTGCAGGTGAAGAAACTGAGGATCTGAGAATGTGACTTGCCCAAAATCACAATGTTAGTAAGTGGTAGACCTCAATTTTTTTTTCTTTTTGAGATAGAGTCTTGCTTTGTCACCCAGCCTGAAGTGCAGTGCCGTGATCTTGGCTCACTGCAGCCTCCGCCTCCCAGGTTCAGGTGATTCTTGTGCCTCAGTCTCCCACGTAGCTGGGATTACAGGCATGCACCACCACTCCTGACTAATTTTTG